ACCCTTTGTACCTCCTGATGTACAGCCAGGCCCGCCACATACAGGCGAGGATGTTGGAGTGCGGCGTGAACGGGATGGGCTTCACGTCCACGTACTTGACGTGGCTGAACTGGCTCGGGGCGGGCGGCGGCGGCAGCGGCTGCAGCTCGTGGTCCGCCTCGGCGCCCACCTCGGGCCCGTCCTGCCGCATGCTGAGGTTGAGGAACACGTCCTCCAGCGACTTGCAGTCGTGCTTGGCCATCATGGGGTCCGGGCCGTCCTCGTCCAGCAGGCGGCCGCGCCGCATCAGCCCCACCAGGTTGGCCTGCCGCGCCTCCTCGATGTAGTGCGTGGTGATGATGACCGTGGTGCGGGAGGTGCGCGTCAGGTCCACCAGGAAGTCCCAAATGCTGGAGGGGGGCAATACGTTTATCAGTAACCGGGGTCACCAAATGCCGACTCGGCTGCACCGCGCCGCGCCACCGTTGCGAGCAACGCACCTCTGCCTGAGGATGGGGTCGACGCCGACCGTCGGCTCGTCCAGGATGAGGAGGGGCGGCGCGTGCAGCAGCGTCACGGCCAGCGACACGCGCTGCTTCTGGCCGCCGCTCAGGTCGCTCAGCAGCCTGCTCTTCTTGGCCGGGATGTCGAGGAACTTGAGCAGCTCGTCGGACCGCTCCCGAGTCTTCTCATCGGCGAGCCCGGCCACCCTGCCGAAGTACGTCAGGGTCTCTCCGATGGTGAAGTTCTCGCTGAGCGCCAGCTCCTGCGGAAGGAGCAGGAACGATCGTGAGAAAGGGGTGCAAGAAAGAGAAAGAGTTGGAATAAAGGCGCGGGTCGTCACCTGCGGCATGTAGCCGATGAGCGGCCCGGGGATGCCGGCGTTCTTCGCCCCGGGCCTCACGCCCATCACCTTCACGGCGCCGGCGTTGAGGTGCCGCAGCCCCAGGATGCACGTCAGCAGGGTCGTCTTGCCGCAGCCGCTCGCCCCAAGCAGCGCGTAGCTGACAGAAACAATCAATCAAAATCAATTACATTAATTCCCACGAACTTTTTGTATGCAGTAGAAAATTTCTTTTGGTCATCGGCGGTCATCGGTCAAAAAACGAAATATGATTTGTACCTGGTGGCAGTTACTGACTCATGCTGACTCGCACTACTTGCATACAGTTTTGTGCGACTTTGTGACACGTGCGGTGCACTTTTCATCTTCCTTTTAATTCCCTGATTGCGGTGCAGTCCGGGCGTCTGTCATTAAAACACGCGTTCCCAAGCGAAATTGCCTGTCGTCGCGCCGGACGCGGCCCGCGAGGAGACTAGACCGGAGTTAGCATTACACCTGGCCGAAACACAGCTGGGGCGGGCAGTGGAGCGACCGGAATTCGCAGGCAAGGCTTGTAGAACAGAGCAAAATTTCTTCCTATAGGAATTTAATTGAAAAACGCTGACACGAAAATTTTTAATTTGACCTTGTCTCAACAAAGTATTATTATTGCCATCAAACTTTTATCGTGAGTTTAACGACAGCAAAGAAAAGGTTGTTCATCGTGCAATGCGACCGTACTATGCACGTCCTGCACTTAGTTCGATTAAAAACAACTGTCCACATAAGGTGTCAGTCAACAGTCATGAGGCTCTGTTAAATTGAAAACATATATATCCTCATCCTCTTCACCCGCAGAAAAAACGTATATGCACAACCAAAAGAGTGTATACAGTATACTATGCATGGCTAGCTATTTCTTTTTATGACTGCATGCAGCTGTACTCCGATATGAAGCGTGCTGTAAGAAACCATGGTCAGAATTCTAATTTAAATAAAAATAGGCATACTCGCCCGCTTGAGCACTTTAACATAACTTCAAGGGTGGGAAACTGTCCACACCTGCTGGTGCAGCTTTTAGGATAGAGGCGGCAATGTTCTCTTTTTCTTTTTACATTATCCGCGCCAAGCTACCCTTTCTTTGAGAACATCGAGTGTGACGCGCGGCGGCTTTGACCGTAAGCTGCCACACGGCACCTGTGAGTCAGGCGAACCCGCCCGCACCACCACCGGCGCGTGAACCAAAACACCCGGTAATGTGCGGTAATGTATATACTTACATGCTGGCCTCGGGCACGGTGAGGTCCATGCCGTCCAGAACCCATTTGTTGGCCGCGTAGCACTTCCTCGCCCCCCTCACGACGACGGCCGCCTTGATGGGGCTGCTGGACGCCGGCGTCGTGGCGGCGGCCGGGGAGGAGACGCCACCGGCTGGCGGCGCCGCGGACACCGTCGACGCCAAGGAGGTCTCGTTCATGATGTCGGCGGCGGCGCTGAGTCGAGACAAACACCGTCACACTCACAGCCACTCCCTCAAACAGCGTCACACTCACTCCCTTCAACAGCGTCACAGTCACTCCATTCAACAGCGTCACAATCACTCCCTCGAACAACGTCACACTCACAGTCACTCCCCCAAACAGCGTCACACTTACAGTCACTCCCTTAAACGGCGTCACACTCACCCCCTCAAACAGCGTCACACTCACAGTCACTCCCTCAAACAACGTCACACTCACAGTCTCTCCCTCGCCGGCTTCACTCGAGGACCATCACTATGCTAATGCCCGGCCCCGGCCCGGCCCCGGCGCACTCATCGCACTGCCCATCGGGGGAGCCGCCGCCGGTACCGCCTTTTGTCCTGAACGACCACACACTCTGGGCCCTCGCGGCTCGGTGTGGTGTCGTATAGACAGTTTGGAAATTCCACGAGTTGAAAAATTTCCGTGATAGATACAAAAACTTTCCACGGAAGACACACCTACGGTGCGTGGCCACTTGGGGCTACCCGTTTTCTTTAGACGCGCGCGTCATGTTCAGCGATCGAATAATGCACATCACCCCATCTCACGACACTTGCATCTCTTCTGACAAAACGCGGATGGGAATGCTATGTTTTTGACTGACGGCGCTATCGCTGCTGAGGAGCACTGAGGGGGAGACCGGTTTGTCTAGGCGAGGCGGCCGCGGAGCGCGCCAAGTTTTTGAAGTTCATCTCTGCTGGTTGCGGTGCAGCACCGGCGCAGCTTGAAGGCGCGGCCGTGCGCGCTCACTCTGCATTAGTGTCGCAAGATCACTCCCGCTGCACTGGTTAAGGGGCCGGCGGCTCGGGCTCGATCGCACGCAGCGTGGACGGCGCGACCAGGGCGGCGCGCGGACGGACTGGACGCTGGTTTTCCTGAAGCCACGCGGTCTTCCATATTTTCTGGCGCGGTGCCATGCGTGTGTAAAATGTTCAGGATGCGATCGTGACGGTGCATCATATGCACGTTCACTTGCACACACACACACAAAAGAAATGTGCATGCGCGCGTCTCTTTTTCCAGGTACAGCGCGGGTTATTTTGAGAGCAGTGTCGGGTGAGGGTTGCCGTTTTGATCGCGGAGTACAAATAGCATAAGAGTGGAATCGGTGTTGTTGCCAGCTTCCTTAAATCCAAGTGAGAGTAAGTTCATTTACTAACTCGTCGAATAAACTGTAGCCTCGACGGGAGGCCCGCGGGTCCGGGGCGCATCCCCGCCTTGAACCCATACGGCGGCATAGAGACTGTCACAGTCAAGGCCAGAGACCAGCATCCTATTCAATTACTCTTTTTCAATCGAGCTCGCGCGAGGTAATCGAATTTTCCTTTTTAAAAAAGTCGCGCGCGCGAGCACTGGTTGAATCTCCATCTCTAGGACCGGGTAGCTACCGAGTCTTGAATGAAAAACCGGACGTGAGCATGCAGTTGGTGGCTTCAGTGCCCTTGAAAACCGTCGCCGTTACGGGGAGGAATTGAATCGGAAAAGGATTACAGCAACTTTTCCTGTTCTGCTGGTTTCGACGTCTTGGCGCACTTCGCCGAAGGATAAGGAAAGAAAATGCTCTCTCATTACCCATGCAGTAATCCCGTCATGGTATTTATTGTTTGCGAAAATAATATCAGGCATTTTACATGCAATGTACGCATGATTCTAGGCCGCAGCCAGGGCTATTCCGTGGCGAAACGATAGAGAGACACATTAGCTGCAGAGTGACTAAGTTACTTAAGTTCGGAAACCTCATCGCTTCTCAATACGTTTGCGCACTATACTGCCGGCATACTAAACTGCTAATTAGTTGAACGCTGAGCCAACATCCCTATAGTTGTCAGTTATTTGTGTGGCACCTTGCATCTTTCCGACCACACACTATGAAAACGACTTTAATCACGAACGAACTGCACTGAATTCCCCCCCAATATATCCACCAGCCGGGGTCCATACCGTCGGTAGGTATTGTGGGCGCTGGAAACGTCGTCCGCCTCTTTCACACACTCAGGATTGAACACGAGTACCAATAACGTGTCTTTCGCACCACCGCTCGACTGTCCAATCACTCGACACACACACTCACTACTCACGTGCACTGCGACTACCGCGGGGCGGGACTACGGCTCGACTGGACCGCACCTCGCGGCAGCGGCGGCAGCAGCGGCAGCGGCGGCAGCTCCAACCCGTCCCGGCAACTGTCAAATGTTGCCCGGCCTGCCCTGCCAGGTGCGCCGCCAGGTGTGCCAACGCCGACGCGACTCCTTTACTGGTGAGGTTGACACTGCGCGGCGCTGCCCAGCCGGCCGGGGAGCTCCGCGGCTCTCGCGAAATCTGAGTAGAGCGACTGGACTGTGCGCCGGCCACGGAGCGAGCGGGGGCTGCTGCTGGCCGCGGGGGCCGCGAGCGTCGGGCCGCCGCGGGGGTCCAGCTCCAGCTCAGGCGCGAGCAGCGGGGTGGGAGGGGGCAGCGGCCGGGCTGTCCGATTGGTCGGCGGCTGAAATTCGCTCCATGCCGCTCCCCTTTTTCCACGAGATGAGACGCGCACACACGTCACCGCGCCGCCCGCGCACGTCCGGGTCATAGGGCAAGGCGCGTACCCGTGCCCGAGAGGGGTGGGATGGAAGTGGGGGGGGGGGTGAAGCCGAGGTATTGCAATAACAGAATAATGGAGAATCCTTAATTTCCAAGACCCCCCCCCCCCCCCGGTTGTTCGAGCCCCTCGCTCCAGGACGCAACATGTTTGTACTACTCATTAATTTTCAAATAAATAAAGGCAGAGTGAGAAAGACTCAAGACGTGTGCGAGGAAGAGGTAGAGATGCCACTGGTGGTACCGGTACGTCCACGTCCACGTCCGCCTTCTCTCGGGTTGTGCCGGGCATGGTGTCGGGGCTGGAGAGCGCCGTGAGATAGGCCACCCATCTAACGCTGCGGTGGAGCCGTTGCCGGCCGCGAGGGCGCTAGTGGTCGCTCCGCAGGGCAGCCGCCCGGGTCCCGCCCCATCATACTCGTTGCAGCTGCGTTTGACGGTTTGACGTCCGTTTGTGGAGTTTTGCGTTGCTCGCCAAAGTTTACAAAAACAATTTTCAGTTTCGGAAGGGCCAGCGCATGGCCTGTCTCGCACATTCTCGCGCCGTGACGAAGGGTGGCAGCACTGCCCCCGAGACGAAGACGAAAGGGCGGTGCTGCGAACAAAAACAACAACAACGTTTGTTGGGTTGTTGTTGAAACGTGAAGAACGCCGTGTGTCTGCTTTTGCGCCTTCGTGTTTATGATGTGCCCTTTGACTCACTACGGTGTGGCTTTCATGATATTGTTTTAAGAACTGTGCACATTTGAAAGACACTTTTTTCTTGCTTTCGCTTCGACAACAGCCGTCGGCAAAACCGGCCGCCGCATCTGGCATCAACAACGCGCCGAGGGCGCTTCTCTTTCAAACGTAAGTAAAGGATTGTCCTCAGATGAGTGAAAGGTTAGGACTCGACTCACCAGGTCTGTCGAGTTCGTTAAAGAGAGCCGCGCTCGATGTTCTAATACATGTTTGTGGGATCAGACACGACTGTCCATCTCCCCTACAGGTATTCCTGAAGTCACTGTCTTGCATGCCCCTCCAACAAGTAAAGAAATATTTGAGTTTTGACAAATAATTTTTATAGTCATGTTAGTGAAATTTTGGTAGAAAATAGTGAAAGAAAGTATTTATCAAAAACTTTGGTTTTGCTGTATAGTTCATTAGGTTTATCATACTTGGTATGGCAACTAAGAGGGATTATTCAAATTTTCTGAAACCATAGTTTGGTCACATTGCAATTAGTACTCATCAATTTAACTGATTTTCATTGTAATTTGTTACGTCAGGGTCCCTTGCTGTAATCATTTCGACGTCCATTCTATTCTTTGTTTATTTCATTCCAGGTTCAGTTATTGTCTGCACCCATCGTTATGGAGAACGTTATAGAACAGGACTTTGTCATTCCTTCGGAGAGCAAGGATGACACAAATTCTGAAAGCAAGGATCAAGCGATGACAGTCGATCTCCCTCAGGATGTGCCCGCCCTTCCTGGTACGTATTACCTTCCCTTCTGAACTATTTTTTGTGGGGTGTTGAGAAACGAAATCAGTTGATTGGTTTATTTGTTGCCCAACTGCTGTTTCACTTGATGTGTCCTTCTCTCAGTTCTAAATGTCTCTCATTATCCCATGATGTTCCGCCTGCAGGTGCCCTCCCTTCAGAGACGGAGATGATCGCCGCGCTGCTGCGCCACTGCTGCTGGGTGTGCGGCGTGACGGCCACGAACCACGACGCCAACGTCGCCCACATGTTGACGCACCTGCAGGCCGACGAGACGTCGCCGGACCGAGTGCCCTGGACGCCCGGGGCTGCGGCCCGCGGCGCGGCCCTGACCACGCCGGGCACGCCCTGGGGAGGGAGCCTGGCCAGGGCGGCCACCCCTCGGCCCCACCAGGACCCCGGGTACCTCCGGGACGACGCCCTCCAGCTCGCCAAGCGCCCGCCGGTGCCGGGGTTGCTGCCGCTGTCCGAGGTGCGGCGTTCGAGCGGCGCCGGCGCGGCGCAACCAGAGACGACGCCGCCCGCCGCCGCCTCGCCCTCGCCGCCGCCACCCCCGCCCCTGCTGCCTTCGCCGCCACCCGAGAAGCCGGCCGCCGACAGCTCCCTCGTCTGCGCTATCTGTCTCGAGAGCTTCACGGACCGCGCCGCGCTCCTGCAGCACGTGGAGGCCGAGGTGCGTTCCATTGACGCGAAGAGCACGACTGGCAAGAAGTCCAAGCCCAAGACCACTGAGAAATCCAAGCCCAAGACCACCGAGACGTCATCCGCCTCGCCGGCCGACAGCTTCGCCTGCGACCTCTGCAGCCGGAGCTTCCCGATCAAGATGGCACTCCGAGTCCACGAGGCCCGGGCGCACCCGGAGAAGCCCCGGCGTAACGACAAGCACGGCAAGGATCGGCCGCACCAGTGCCCCAACTGCCCCTCGCGCTTCCGGCACCGCTCGCACCTGGACAAGCACCGCCTGCAGCACTCGGACGGCAGGCCCTTCCAGTGCGCTCACTGCGGACAGTCGTTCCGGCGCAAGGACCACCTCGTCACCCACGTCGTCCGCATCCACCAGCCCGAGGTCAAGAGGTCGGTGGAGCAGGCGCGCGCCCTCGAGGCCAAGCAGGCCGTGACCAGGGGGGCCGCGGCCAAGGCGCAGCAGGTCGCGACGCCCAAGGTCGCCGTCAAGCCTGGCACCCCAAAACCTGCCACCCCCAAGCCTGCCACCCCTAAGGTCGCAGGCTGGAAACAGGTCGCTGCCAAGAAGCTTAAGACAGAGCCTAAGACACCAAAGGCCGAGCCCAAGACGCCTAAAAAACCAAGGACCAGAGATTTCGCCTGCGCCTCCTGCGACAAGTTCTACATGGCGGAGCGCTACCTGCGGCGACACATCGTCCACATCCATTCCAGCACTATGCCGTTCGTGTGCCTCAAGTGCGGGAAGAACTGCTTGTCGCGGTGGAGGCTGAACACGCACATGGAGCGGCACGCCCAGAACGGGGCGCCAGGTACGCCCGCGGGCACCGGCACAGGGGATCGCGAGGATCCTGTCCAGGATGATGCCATGGGGGAAGATGCCGCCGTGACAGAGGGCGATATCGTCGTGAAAGACGAATTCGTGGCGGACGACGCCATTAAGACAGAGGACATCGATGTGACGGAGGACATGGACGTGACGGAAGATATCGCTGTGACGGACGGGGATGTCGCTGCGAAGGAGGATGTCGCTGTGACGGGGGATGTCGCTGTGACGGGGGATGTCGCTGTGACGGGGGATGTCGCTGTGACGGGGGATGTCGCTGTGACTGAGGATGTCGACATGGCGGAGGATGTCGCCATGGTGGAGGACGTCGCTGTGACGGAGGCTACCGCCGAGACGGAGGCTACCGCCGAGACGGAGGCTACCGCTGTGACGAAGGCTACTGCTGTGACGAAGACTACTGATGTGACGAAGGCCTCCGCTGTGACGGAGGCTGCTTCTGTGACGAAGGTAGTCGGTAAAATGAACACTCGCTCCACCTCGGCCGCTGCCAAGAAAAAGACCTCCATCGTATTCAGAATTGTTTCCAGGAGCAGCAACCAGAGTGAGGCGGCCAGCGTGGCCGCGAAGATCATCCCGAAGCTCGCCAGTGACATGGCCGCGGAGTCGTCTGCCAGCGCGACCAGCGGTGCAGCGGACCAGCAGGGCGCGAGCAAACGCAAGGTCGTTTACATGCTCGTCCCGAAGCGCGGGCCCAAGAACGATGCCGAGGGCAGCGAGAACCAGCCGAAGGTGTCGACCAACGTCACCACCAAACCTCTGACCAAAATGTTCCTCAAGGTTGTGAACAAGCGGAAGCCGAAGCCCAAACTCCAGGCAGGCCCTGGAAAGGAAATTGTGAAGACACTTGTGCCCAGGACACCCCCTAAGGTCGGCTTTAAGATTGTCCAAAAAGTCGTGGACGTGAAAAACGTACCCAAGCCCAAGACATTGCCAGGGATAGTGCCTCTGGGCGGGTACCTGAAGACTGCCGCACCCCTGCCCGTAGACTCCCCCTTCAACGTCCTGCCGGCCAAGGTCCCGCTCCGTTTGACCTCCGTGCTGACCTCACCGGTCAGTGGAAATATGGACTTCGAGGCAGCGATCCCCGTCCATGTCATCCCCAAGGCGGACCCAAAGGCGGATCCCCCGTGCCTCGCCAGCCCGGACACCTGCAGCGCTGACCTCGACGTCAACGCCAACCCGAAGCCCAAGTCCACTCCCACTCCTCAGGCTTCCTCTAGCTCCAACCAGAAGGCTGCTGCCAAGAAGCCCCAATTGAAATCTGTCCTCAAGACCTCGAATGGCGCCACCAAAGTCAACCAGCAAGCCGCGGACTCCTGCGGGGTTAGCTCCACGCAACCGAATGTTCCGAAGGTGGCGCCCCTGTGCACCCCTTCGCCCTCCAGGTCGCTGCTGACCCCCGGCAGGATGGCCGCCAAGACCCGCGGGTCCCCGAGGAGTAACCCTGCCGCTGCGAGCAGCGCTGACGCGGTCCTCGACGTTGCCCACTCCTCCAGCCAGGTCGTGGCCAAAGTGGCTCCGGTGTCCGCCCTGGGCGCCGGCAGGAGCAGACCCTCGAGCCCCGTCCCCTCGACCGTAACCTGTATCTGTGAAAAGTGTGGTCTTCACTTTGTGGGTGATGTGACCTTCAAACTGCACCTCATCAGAGAACACGGTATTACTGTGGTCAAGAAGTTCGAATGCCAGTGCTGTGGTGCTGCTTATCGAGACAAGGAAATGCTCAGGGCTCATTTGCGGACTCATTAAATTTGTTTCTAATCCAGATTAATCTCATGTATTTCTTGTATTTATAACATTTCTTTTTCTTCGAAGTCTGTGTTTAATTGGTAAAGAACTGTTTAATTTTCTCTGGTCTGCAGACCATGTGCCATTTTTTTATTACAATTGTTTAGTTTTACAACGGATAGTTGTGCTTGTTTTATCCCTTGATTGGCTTTAATGTTTTAGTTTTTCTTTGTCAAGGTTTTGGTGGGATATTTGGTGTATAGGTTAGTATCACATGTAAACTTCCCTCTAGTAATGTCTCTGCTCAAGAAAAGGACAAAATTCCACGTATCAGAAATCTATTATATTTTTTGTCAGAAAATATAAATTGAATTCGACTGGAATGTATTTTACTTCATATGTTGTTGTCTGACCCAAAGAACATGTGTTGGTATTTATGACTTTGATCCTTGACTCAATTTTGGATTTAATTAATAATTAGGTTAATTTGCTTCTTTTAAGAAAATAATCTTTGCAGTGTTATACCCTGAACTATTTTTGTTATTGTGAATAAGAGATAATAAAAATATTGTAACGGCAGTAATAGACTTTTACGAAGTTGTTTTTTCGGCCATCATCCATTCATCTCAAGACCTGGTGAGGGCGTACTCCGGAGGGCGCGAGTTGCTTGGGGTGCGAGTGAAACTAGTTGAACTTGGCGCCAACTGCGCTCGTAGTTGAGCCGAAGGCCGCCAGGTGCCGCTGGCAGTCTGGAGCGGGAGCGCTGCGGGGCTGCTCCTTTGAGGTGAGACGGGAAACTCTTTGTGTGTGTGTGTGTGAGCCAGACAGAAGGAGAGCGACTTGCGCCGCAGGTGTGCGAGGGAGACGCAGGCTGGGGGGAGGGTGATGCGCAGGTGGGGAGGGAGGGCGGAAAAGGAGGAGGGAGGGGGGGGGGGGGGGGCTCGCGCCCTGCGCTCGTTGAGACGGGCAGGCAGCCGCAGAGCAGCGCGCAACGCGCAGCGAGCCGTGCCGCGGGCCAGTGTGCTACCAGCTGCCGCGCGGGCCGGTTCACGTCGGTCGTTCCCCCGAGCCGCGTTTGTTCGCGTCTCCCGCTCGCGCTCGAGCGAGTGTGTGCACCCGTGTGCGTGTATGTGTGTGTTCTGTGAGTGTGACAAGCGGTGCTTCTCCAGCGTCATGGTGGATAGTACTCGGACGTGGATTACCCCCGGCTGTGTTGGCGACATGTGACACAGGACCCCTCCCTCAGGATGAGGCCCAGGGAAGTTGTTGCTGAGGACACCGGCGGCCCCACCGCCCCGCAAGAGCCGTGTTGACAACACAGTGACGTACAGTGCGCCCTGGATTACCCGAGTGAAGTGCGATCAGTGAAGTGGTTTTATTTCTTGAAGACAGTCCGCTTTTAAGGACTGTTTATTGTTTTAGTTCTTAAAAATTTTAAGCGGCCACAAGTTTGGCCCCGTGTGTGACGAGGTGCTGGTGGATGGCGCCGTGGCCGGTGCTGGACGCCGCCGGATGAGCTCCGTGCGCGGCTCTCTCCGTCGCAGCCGGCGCCCCGGGTCCTCCCCGCTGGGGGCGGGCGGCGGGCCGGGGGCGGGCACTTCCCCCGCCTCGCAGGGGTACCAGCAGGGCTACCCGCAGGGCAGGCCGTCGCTCAGCTCGCTCGGGTCGTTCAGCTCGCTGGGCTCGGACCACCCGGACAGCGTGCACGGCGTCCTGGACTCGCTGATGGGCGAGGGCGCCAAGATGCAGCCCAAGTACGCCCTCGAGGACTACATCTACGAGGTGCAGGCGCGCGGCGACATGGCCGACCACCACCACCTGCAGCACCTGCGCCCGGGCCAGGGCGACGTGCCCGCCGACGCGCAGGGCGAGGACGTGTACGCCGAGCTGCAGCGCAAGGAGAAGGACCTGATCCTGGCCGCCGAGCTGGGCAAGGCCCTCCTGGAGAAGAACGAAGAGCTGAGCCGGCAGAACGAGCGCATCGCGGAGGAGTTCTCGCAGAAACTAGAGGTGAGTCGTAAAACCACGGCGCCCCGCTATCCACGGCGAATGTCTCAATTGCACGACATTTCGGCTTCATGCCATGCCATGGCGGTGTCACAGCCGGGAGGGTTCCGGGTGGGCGCGGGCGGTCCTTCCCTTTCTTCACTTTCCCGCGGCGGTGCTGGTCCCGGGTCCCGGGCGACACTCCGCAGAGTTCGGGGACAGACACAGGACCCCCGTCCCGCTCCGTGCGGCCAGAGCCTGCGAGTCCCATTGTCTCGCGGTGCCTCCACCTGTAGCCATACACCGTGTCGCGGGCGGCGGGCCAGGAGGGGCGGGCGGGTACCGGCGGGTACCCCCGTGTGATAGTGCTCGCTCCGCACGCTGCCCGGCCCGGCCAGCACACTCACAGCGTGACTTATTATTCCTTCTCCTGCCCTGGCTGGGCGGCGTTGCCAGGTGTGGCCCTCTATCCCTGTAAACGCCGCCATAGCCCTTTGTCTAATCACCAAAATCATAGGCGCATTTTTTTCGTTAAGGTCTTTCAAGTAAGGGAGATACTGATCGTCTTCTTTCAAAGAACCAAGTTGTACAATAATCGAGCTGACACTTTGCTTGTCAGTACTAATTATGCGCCGGGGTCGTTGACCCCGCGTCCCGTGCGTTCAAATCCCTCCCCATTTAGCCGAACTTGTGTGTGAGAAAAACGGAGCGACAGAGCACCGTGTGGCCTCCTCCTGGCGGTAGAGTTTTGTTTTGTGCTTAACCATGTGTTTCAAAAGAGAAACGCAGGTCGTGCTGCATCAGTGGCTGTGTCGCGCAGATGCAGGATGCGTCCCTTTGGCGGCGCCCCCGCCCCGGGGTCGCGACTGCTGCGGCCGGACGGTTTGGTCACCGCCGATTGGCCTGGATTCGGCGCGAGCAGGGCCACGAGATGAACAATTATTGGTCGCGACGCGGTCTGTCTGCGCCGCTCTAGTGACCGCGGCGGCGTCGCGGCGTGGCGCCGGGGGGCAGGAGGGGGGGGGGGCAGCCTTTTGTGGGGCCCGAGGGACGGCCGGTCAGCGCCGCGGCGTCTGTCCGCTCCACTCATGTCATCTGCAGATGGCCTTTGAGGTGGGAGCCCTCACCTCAGTAGTCATTGCTCACTGTCGCGCACGGCGCGCGGCGGCGGCGGTGTGCTCGCGGGTCAACAGAGTCGAGGACTACTGACCTCGGCCCGCTAGAGACGCCCGCCGGAGTGATCGTGGCTCGACACACTTCACACCCTCTCAGTCGATAGAGTCGTATCTCAGTCGGTCGCTGGTGGCCGCGGACTCCAGTGGCGTCACACTCCGGCTGTGGTCGAACTGTTTTTGGCGCGCGGCGGAAGCTACGTGGCCCGGCGCGGCCCCGTTACTATGGCTGCTGCGGTCAGAGCCGCGAGCGCCGCGACGCTGCCGTGCTGGACGCCGTCCGCGCCGCGCCGGCTGTTACGTGGACGACGACGCTCTGCTTCGCGGCGCTCGCGGCTCGCCAACGAGGCAAGGCGCGGTGGTGTTTGGCTGCTGCTCTTGAGTTCGGCGACAGCTGTTTTGGCCGACGGCAGC